TTTTTTTCCGTTTTATTTTCGGCCGCGTTATGGTATAAATCGTCGGTGTCGGATGGCCAGAAATGGCGGGGGGAAAGTTAAAGCTTTCCTTTCTCGATTTCTTCTTCCACTTTGGTTTCCCCCTTAGAATAAATAAACGGATTTTAGACAAAATGATTGATATAAATATTATACTAAAGTTTCCACGTAAAAGTTAAATAGGAAACAACGGTGAAATGATTATTGATGTATATAAGCTCAACTCTGCACACGCGTGTACAAAGTTGAACCTATCACTTCTCGCAAGCAAAGGAAAAAACAAAAAATTGCCATTGACTCAAAATTAGTGCCATTTTAATTACAATTGCTTATAAATACAGTCACTCTCAACACACGCTAGGGACGTAAAACTACCATACTATACATAATAATCAGCCCTGTTTTTAAAAAAACGTCTCTTATCGGGTAGCATTCCTACGCCTCTGTATGGGGCCAAGGAATTGCACTCTTCAGTAAGGTGGGGCACATCAAGCGACCTTTCTCTGCATACCGGACATACGCGGGCTTTGGCCCAAAAATATATATCCTTGTGTTATTGTCCTTTGGCCTATTCTTAGTCGGTTGAGTTTGATCCATCTTCTTCGATTTGAGGGCCGTGAGTTCTTCTCTTTCAATCCGATCCAACGCTGCCCCTTCTTTTTAATGTATAGTTATTTTATTGTTTTATTATATAATTATATACACCTCGACTAGTAGTAGGTTATCCATATTTTAATAATAAATAATTTACTTTTTGCATTAAGTTTCATTTCTGTAATAATTATGTCAACACAGACTATCCACTTAGTGGAAACAGTGTTGCCCCCAGTGTTACCCAAACGTGATATGTAGGGAAAAACAATATAAATTGTTTTATACTGCAGTTATATTATATATATAAACTTTGTCAAGAGAAGTTTATTCATAAATTAATAACAAATAATTTAATTTATTCATAAAGTTTCATTTCTGAATAATTATGTCACCACAGACTGCCCACTTTACCGAAACAGTGTTGCCCCCAGTGTTACCCAAGCACTGGATGGAGGGTGGAACATATCAGTTGTTTTATATTACTGTTTTAATATATATAAACGTTGGCTAGTAGAAGGTTATTCATAAATTAATAATAAATTATTGTGTATTAAATTTCATTTCTGTATTAATTATGTCATCACAGACTGCCCATTTTACCGAAACAGTGCTTCCCCCCAGTGTTACCCAAACCCGGGATGGATGTAAAAACAGTATAAATTGTTTAATTTATACATGAAGTTGTTATTTCGGTATTAATTATTTCACCAAAGACTCCCTACTTCGTTGAAACAGTGTTGCCCCCAGTGTTACCCAAACGTGATATGTAGAGAAAAACAATATAAATTGTTTTATACTGCAGTTATATATATAAACATTGTCAAGAGAAGTTTATTCATAAATTAATAACAAATAATTCAATTTATTCATAAAGTTTCATTTCTGTAATAATTATGTCACCACAGACTGCCCACTTTACCGAAACAGTGTTGCCCCCAGTGTTACCCAAGCACTGGATGGAGGGTGGAACATATCAATTGTTTTATATTACTGTTTTAATATATATAAACGTTAGCTAGTAGAAGGTTATTCATAAATTAATAATAAATTATTGTGCATTAAATTTCATTTCAGTATTAATTATGTCACCACAGACTGCCCACTTTACCGAAACAGTGTTGCCCCCAGTGTTACCCAAAACCGGGATGGATGTAAAAACAGCATAAATTGTTTAATTTATACATTAAGTTTTTATTTCCGTATTAATTATTTCACCAAAGACTCCCCACTTCGTGGAAACAGTGTTGCCCCCAGTGTTACCTAAACCCGGGATGCAGGAAATCTAAATTTTAAAATCAGGAAAAGTAATATAAATATTACTGTTTTATTATATATAAACTTTGTCTAGTTATTCATGAATTGAGAATAAATATTTTAATTTGTGTAATTGTAAGGATTCAATGTTGTATACACCGTAACAACTGTGATTATTGCAGAAATTTAGTCGTAATATTTAATTATATTCAGAAAGATCAGAATAAAGTTTATAAATGAGGATTTGCTCAATCATAAGTTTTAGATTCAACAGAGGATTCTTCCAATTCTACAAAAGCGATCTGCTGAAAACTGCTTGAATCGATTTTTCATTCACCCTTGTCTCTAGCAATCGTACTCTTATGAACAAAACGAAAGCTTTTAAGACACCTAAGATAATTAGGATTTTGAATTTGATTGAATGTTTTGAAGTTTGTCTCTTTAAAATGATCAAATTCTTGTTAAAACACTTACGTTTTAACTCTTGTTCGTCGTCTCAGGTTGAAATGTGCGAGGAGCTGCTGTCTGGCGTGCGGATGGGTGGCTGCATAAATATCCCTGGGTATTAACTCTCGACTCCTCCATTCTCCCTCGTTCCCGTTTTTAGTGCTCGTCTGTCTTTTAATAATAAGTTACAAGTCGAGGGCAGGGCGTTAACCAGGCCGAGTTATTGGACATTGTTGCTCGGCGTGCTCCTAATTTACAGCCTCCTCGGAGAGACTGAGAACCGATTTTGTTACAATTGTCACGGCCTGTCTCTCCATTACTGGGATCCGCCCACTACTTACTCAAACAGCTTGTAGCTACCTAAAGTTAAAAAAAATACTTATTTGCTAAACGCTTCATTACAAAGCAATAAATAGTTAGAAAGGGAAATTTTAATACCTTTCAGCTTTTTTTACGTACAGTTTTCTTAATGTGAGAAGAAAAACGCAAGAAAATCGAAATAGTTGAAAAGGGTACTCATTTTCTGTGGCTATAGTCGTTTCCGATCATTCTGGTCCACCTGTCCTCGCTGAGCACGGCTGTTTAATGGGACATACCTAGGTGAATATATTTATTAGCGTGACTGTAGAATATGTACGCCGACGAAGGAAAATGCTAAAACGCGACCGATACAACCAACGAGAAGACACGATCTCTTGACTCAGTTCACTCCTGGTTCCTGTGTTTACAATTTTTTTTTTAAATCAAAGTTCTACCTTGTTTGGCCTAACCACTGCCACCTTCATTGCCAGGTCTTGAAGGTCTTGTCTGAGTAGGACGTGAGTCAGGCCGACGACAGAAGCTTATCTGACAGTCCATTGATGCTCTTGATCTTCGGCATCAAACCTTATCTCCAGATCTCCTATCCTAAGGATACAACTAGGAAAAAGCCTGGGTAGCCTTCGTTAAAGAAAGGTGGAGAGGAATGAATTCAAAGCCAATTCTGGTAGTTGGCTTAGACCATTTTTATGTTTTATCTATGATAGTCAGCCCACTTGGTTTACTCGGGGAGTAGGAACAAAGTGTATACGGGGTGTCTCAGTTCCTTCTGACAAAACTCAGGGAATCGATTCTACTCTTCGTTTGGAGCAAAAAATGCTCAGGAGAAAATTTTCGTAAAGTTCTCTGTTTTGAAGATATTCGTCAATTTAGGTTTTTTCAACTTTTCACTACCTTACCACATAAAAACTCTTACAATTTCCAAAATGTTGAGACTACAACAAATCCAATTACACCATTTGAAAGAACGCTAAATTCTCGAATGCATAACTGACGTTCTGAATTTTTACCCCCCCCCCTTCAAATTTACCTTAGCTCACTTTTTCGAACATTCAATTGTTATTTTTCAACTCTACTAGAGCGTTATTTAAAAACCTGGATATATCAACGTAAAGCATATTAGATGAAGAAGTTTTTGTAAAATTGGACAAGTTGTGGATACCCACATTTTTGTAACCTCTGTAGAACGTGCAATCATGACCAAAATTTTAAATTTTGTAATTTTGACATGTTCCAACTGATATTGGCTAACATTTTATGTCATTCAGATTATTACAAAGAAGTATCTTACAGGAAATTTACCGTTCTTTCAAATGGTGTAATTGGATTTGTTGTCGTCTCAAAATTTTGGAAGCTGTAAGCGTTTTTATGTGGTAAGGTAGTGAAAAGTTGAAAAACCTAAATTGACGAATATCTTCAAAACAGAGAACTTTCCGAAAATTTTCTCCTGAGCATTTTTTGTTCCAAACGAAGAGTAGAATCTATTCCCTGAGTTTCGTCAGAAGGAACTGGGACACCCTTATAGACAATGTGTAAAGGCTATTTTGGGTTTATCACCGTTACACTCGATCCTCCTCATACAGTAGGATTGAAGAGACTGAAGAAAGGATTGCTGTGACGTCAAACAGATATTTGTTATGGGATGATGTTGGATGCCTGCTGATAGAATAGAGACGTGGACCTAAAGTGTTCCACAGAGGAACAACTGTAAGGATGAGGTATATGGAAGAAGAAGAGGTTACAAAAGCGACCAGAGAGATAGGATGAGATCATGTGAACTGGGTAAGAAAGCCTTGGTCTTTAACTACAACACCATTATCCAAAAGGCTGGGCAGTACTACCTTCACTCATGGGAGGTTGAGGTCCACAAACTGATGCTTTACACAAGAAAGTGACAGTAGCGGGGTAGGTAGCATGTTTTTCCGACTTGGGAAGCAGTTGGGTCGGTGGCAGGATCGTCAGTTGGTTTTTAGGAATGAGGTAGATTGAGGAGAATTTCCAGAGGTTCGGCAGTGTGTGTTATTACATTAGGAGGATTATGGCATTTCTTAGGAGTCATAGGAAGATTTTAGCGGTGATTAATTCTAAAAGCGGGACTAGTCAAAAAGATATGAGCACAATTCGTCAACTGAAACCTATAGCCAGTTACGAATTTCTCGGCCATCCACCTCCTTACCTGTTTCTCTCTCACATGTTCATAATGACTTGAAGATACATTATCGATCATCAGTCACGAATCATCTTGACCAGTTTACTTATTTATTGAAAGAGACCTTGTATATAACTTTAGTGTGCTAGTTACAACGTATCTATCTTATCTTTAGTGGTGAGGTTAAGGTCATTCATCTGAACCTTTGATTTTTTTGCAGTGGTACAGGGTAAACCTTAAATGCATTGTGCCATCCGTGGCGCGTATTTACCATCAGCTCCGCCCCGACGAAGAGACAGACCATTTCCTGGAGACATCCCGTCGCCTTTCCAACTCCGTCCTGACACAGATATACCACTCCTTGGTCAAGTTCATCCTCGGCTTCTTCATGACTCAAACCTCCATCAACGGGTGAGTAAAACCAAATTTTTGTTTTTAAAACTCTCGAGAAACGCGTTATTAGGATATATGATCGAGAACAAACGTGGGAGGAGAACGGCGTCTGGCCGTGTTGAGAGGATTTTACGCCGAGATAGTCCCGTGTTTATTCAATGAGCACGAAGACTCGTGAGGTCGAGAACAACCCCGTCCGAGATAAGTCCTCCACTCGGCAATTAAACCCAGGCCCCAATTATGACGAGATGGTAATTAGCCGGTTTGGAGTTGGGACAAGTCTGTAATTAGCGCTGGGAGCGTGATCCCTGCGAGGCTGTGGAATTTCCAACGCTGGAACCCTGTACTATATTTTACACTACGTCTTTTTAAAACCAAAAAACGTAATTTTATTTTTTATATCATAGCAAAAGCCTACATAATTTTGCCATGCTGGAAAAGTACTTGACCCTAGACCTGAGATCAATGACCTGATCTTATGTTTTGGATTTATGACACTGACATTCGAGATTCAAAAATGATATAGTTTTTAGTGAATGTTAATATGGGATCATCAGACGGTTCTTAAATATCGTGTTAATTTCGTCCACAAGCTGCACCTGTGTGGAGCTGATCAAACTGTACCATGCCATTGTCATAAAAAGTTAGGAAAACACATCGTAGTACGATCATCTCTGATCAATCAGGTTCCCCTATCTTCTTTGGTTTTGTCTATCAGACGTGTATCACCATCGTCCAGATGGACTGAGAGACATATATGAACATAAGTTTGCTTCAAGAAGCGAGGAATCTTGTCTGACAATGTCTTTCGAACAACGTAGCATGATTATGTGCGGTGATCTTGGTCCTCCTGTCAAGGTCTGTCACGAAGCGAGGCTGATGTCTTTTGTGCATATTTACTGAAAACAGAAGTACTGAAAAAAGGTAACCGTACTGATTCGTTAGATGTAGCTTGATGGTCTCCGATCATCTGGGTCCGCCTGTTCTCTCTGGATTCATCTGCCAGCCGCGATTTCTCCATTCACTATCGTGGTTCTGTTTTATATTCAAGCTAATACATTCACTCAGGCAAGACGTTTACAGTTGAGGATAAGCCAGGATGATAAAATGATCGAGTGGTTCACCGATCATCCTGGTCTGTCTATCCTCGCTGATTTGGCCTGCCACGAAGCGAGGCTAGATAGACAAGGAAAACAAATCTGATCCTTCTTGTCCATTTTTACTGAAACATTGAAAACAGACGGAAAAAATTTAGCCGACGTATTCCAACCGTTGTTCCCTTGGTTTAGATCAACTCTCATCTTCCTGGTCCGATTATCCTCGCTGCTTTTATCAGTCAGTTTGCATTGGCTGAATAAATATCTAGCTAGAAATTAAATTCACTCGGTGAAACCAGTGAACGTACCAAATCAGGGAGGAAAGGCAGAGATGATACAATGGTTGCATCCATCAATGGATGGTTAAATGAGAGATTAAAGAATAAATTAACTAAACGTTTTCTCCTAAAAATACGTCAGATTTGGCGAGTTTTTATTTACAAATCATTTTGAATTTGACAATATTCTTTTAAACCATCGCCATCGTCCATGGTTTCTGACTTTGTCATTTGTGAAAATGGGACTGGCCGCTTCAAATAGCGAGGCCAAGCGGACCAGAAAAACATGTGTGACAATGTTTTTTTTTTATTTACTGCAACGAGTAAAGGAGTTTCATATGAGAGTTTCCATCCATGTTTATTGCGAGTAAAAGTACTACTTTCTTACATTTTATTAGCTCACTGGTTTTTATCACTGAGTCGGGATTTTTCCATCTACTCTCGTTCTTCTCACATTCATGCTAATAAATACAATCACTCAGGTAAGATCGAACAGTGTTGCGGTGGTGGTTATGCCAGGATGGTAAATTTCATTTCTTGATCGTTTCCGAGTATCCTTGCTTCTGTCGCCGGGCTGTCTCATACATTCTAGCTACTAAATAAATTCATTCGGGCGACCTACCAGTGAAGGTAGCAGTAGACAGACGGCCAAAATATTGTACAATACATACGTTTCCAGACATGTTTATTGCGTGTAAAAATACTACTTTCTTACATTTTATTAGCTCACAGGTTTTTATCGCTGAGTCGGGATTTTTCCATCCACTCTCGTTCTTCTCACATTCATGCTAACAAATACAATCACTCAGGTAAGACCGAACAGTGTTGCGGTGGAGGTTATGCCAGGATGGTAAATTTCATTTCTTGATCGTTTCGGAGTATCCTTGATTCTGTCGCCGGGCTGCCTCATACATTGTAGCTAATAAATAAATTCACTCGGGCGACCTACCAGCGAAGGTAACTACAGACTTAAACAATCGAAGAAGGCCAAAGTACAATATTACGTTTCCATCCCTCTTACCGTAACTGGCAATTACACAAAAACTGGTAAAACTCTAAAGATTGCATACCTTGCTTTACTTAATTCAAAAAAGTATAGGGGTTAAAAGATAATTGGAAGGGACAATTAGAAATCAATTGGCAGACCTTACGAGTGAAAAATATTTCTTGGTTGGGAGATTGTTTTAAAAAATCGACATCAAGAAACCAAAAACAATCCTGCCTAAACATAACACCACCTCTCAGTTATAAATCCTTCTCGGGCATTTTCTGTTTGTACCGATTACCATCAATCGTTGACAGAGAGAAAAACAAGGCTAACGTCTAGATTAGAGGTTTACAAGCCGTGTGTGTTTTTTTCCTTCCGATCCCTCCGGCGTCTTCCTTCAAAACAGGATCCGTTGGTCCGTTTGTCACCACCAAGTCTTTAACGTCCTTAAATTGCTTATACGGACTCGTGGATGTATTTTTCTTGTCGGCATCCGATTTATTAATACGATTAGCCCGGCGCGTTTGTCTGTTTGTGTGTTTTTATAACTTATTTTCGCTTCCTTTTGTAGTGACTTGAATGCCATCTGTTCCTCTATATGATCTGACAGTGACTATTCGTTATCAAAAAGGGGCAAAACGGCCGGGTATTTTACTATCCGACCTCATAAGTAAACTCCTGTCGAGTCGAATTGAAAAGGAAAAAAGGACCAGCAAATGTACTTAATCAATAACCCTCTTGATGACTAAAATAGTAATATTTATGAAGTTAGCAGGGTGATAAAACTGAAGGTCCCAGCTCATCGTGGTCCGCCTGGTTCTGGGTCAATGTTTGATTTACACAAAGTTATTCGGGCCAAGATGATTGAAGTGACGATCGAGTTATGACGAATCTTGGTAAACTTTGTTCAACTGTTTTGTACTGTTTTAAATGTTACGGTAAATACTTGCAAAGGATAGTGTCAGATTGGTTCGCCTGGAATCGCTATGTGAAGTAGGATTCATTTAAATAACAGATAAACCAGGCCCGATGTCGAAATACGTAAACGCGTTAGACCAAAGTCAGCGAGAACAGGCGGACCCAGGTTGATCGGGGACGATCGAACTGCTAGAATAAATTATTGTGAAATTATTTCACCACTAACGATAGAGTGGATGCAAATGTCCTGCCCTATCCTCGCTGTTTTGTTTGTCACGGCCATCTACAAAGGTGAATGTGTTTATTAGCCTGAATATGGAGACAAAATTCCAACCCACCCATAGTATAAAATCTGCTGGTTTAACTTAGTTTATCGATATAATTATCATTACAACTAACATCGGTTCGTTTTTCTCAAGAAACATCGATATTTTATGTGTGGATCCGTATCGACTATATATATATATATATCGATCTTTCTCATTCCATAATTTCGACATTGTGCTGAACAATGTATCGATATTTGTAGACGAAATGAATTTGAATGAATATATATCGATACTTCTGAAAAACGTGAAACTATATTCCTTGAATTGATAATAGTAACGAAATAGCTTCGATATATCACTAAAATATCGATGCTTGATATCGATATGTTCAATTTATGAAATGTCATGTCATTTTATACAAACTTACATTAAATATGAATGAATAGTTAACAATGATATATCTATTTTGAATATTGATTTTTCCCATTCTATAATATCGATATTGTACTGAAAGATATCATCAGAATATCATCGTNATTAGTCATTAATTGCCGAACGTGAATGCGTAATGAGAAAATTCGGCATTTTGTGTGTCCGTTTGTTCAGCCCTACAGGATGCAACATTACCCTGGCCAAGAAGTGGGATTCTGAGAAGTACGGAAAAATACAGGACGCCAATTGGTGTCATTATGGACAGCAAACGGCAATCGTATATGATGGACGCCAGTTATCAATGGACATGAAAGGAAGGAAGTATGATAACAAAATGGAAAGTGTATACTTGAAAAATGTATATATCCAATTTGTGGTCATAAATGAATTCTGACCTGACTAGCGTTATCAATATAACTAAACAGAAAATCGGTAAGAGAAAAAATTTGAAAATTGTCGTTCCTTCTGGTGGACGCCATTTGGCCTATACGGAGTTCCAGTTGATAACAAGATTTATATATATATATACACACACACATTTATTTCTTAACGAGAAAAAGTTTGTACGAATTTTTTTATGAGATATTAGCGATAATCGATATTTTTGCGATGTATCGAAACCGTTTTGTTACAAACTCAATACAACTAATATTATGTGAGTTTTTTAAACATCGATATTTTATGTCCAGTACCTACCATCGTTTCAGTATCGATATTATCGAATAGGAACAATCTACATTCAAAATAAGTTTATCATTTTTGACTATTTATTTATATATAAGGTAATCATTCAGTACAAATGACAGTTTGATAAATTGGAAATATCGATCCTTAATTATTAACGTTAATCGATATTTTGCGATATATCGAAGCCCTATTATGAAATATCGATATTACGTATATAGTATATTAATGTAGTGATATAGTTACATAGTAATGGTTGATTTACATTTCTTATCTGTTTATTTCTTGCCATAAAAAATACCGTGGTTTATACGAGTATCCATTTTAAAATAATCGCGCTTTTATCCATATT